TCCTTGCCAGGCAACGTGTTGGGGTCCAGCTGTCCAATCAAATCCATCTGCGCACGAAGTAACGCCTGGTGCAAACCTTCTGAAATCTACAAAACAAAACATCGGGAGCACGCAAGGGCACGCCTACCCTTACCTGGGTTGAGAACAAATGCCTTGCGCTTGAACTGGGCAACTCCACAAATCTGCATGGTATCAAAACATGTCCGAGACCTGAATGAGTGAGTTGCAAGGAACTGTCATTATGGTGAGCACTGTTGCACCCTAAGTGAGCTCGACATCAAACACCAAACTTTGGAACTTCTTCCAGAAATGCCCATTTGAAGGGCGCATGTCCGGGAAGCTTTCTGGCCCCTTTCGGGCAAATTTCAGCCACGCACCTGTGATTTGCGAGTTGCTTGGAAGTTCCGGGAGCAATGACGCAGGAAGCTCGAACAGCAAGCTCTGTATTTGTCTTTAAAGAAAAGAACATACATGATTAGAGTTAGGCCCAGATATAGAATGTATGTTTCATTGTTTGCTTCAATGAGTCACTGGTACAAGTAAAACTTATCCTAAGTCTACCCCAGCATACAGCCGTACCAATATGATAATATCTGTAAGCACCTCACCGTGCAGAAGCAAAGGCGCGTCGCCAGGTGCGCTGTCCTTTTCGTTCTGTGCATTTTGGTGTGTCCGTTTGTTTGAGGCGGCAAACTGAAAGGAGAGACCAATTTGGGCGGGTTCGCCTATTTGGAGACAACCCCCTTTACCGATCGAAAGGCTCGTGTTCGGCAAGGCTGCGGCACTCGCTGAGCTTCCGCTGCGCGCGCAGTCAACACTCCTCAACTTCTGTCAGTCACGGCCGCGCTGAATCAAAAAAGTCTGATAGGCGTCGCAGGTCACGTTGGCGACCCCTGAAGAGTCCATGTCCTAGTGAAAGGCGCCCGGCCAAGTGCGGAAGCAAAACCGCCGCGACGCCTCGCGACTCGACTCGCAACATGGGCCTTTTGGGCGATTGCCCAGAGAACTGGGTTGACCACCCCTGTTGGGTCAAGGAGGGCGATATCTCCCCATTCCTAGCATTTCTCAACCTTGCGGACATAACATCTCTCGGCTGCTTTCTGCTCCCCTGCTAAAAGATTAACTTCTAGTGGTTTAATGGAAAGCCCATTCGTTGGCAAAAAGTGAAAGTCTTAACGTCCAAGCAAAATGCACCAAAGATCTAGTAGGCGTCTTAGCCATCGCATGCCCTGTCCTAGGCGGAGGACCGCCATGGAGAAGCTGTTGGCGAAGGAATGCTGCAAGCCCGGAACCGCCGCCTGCGCAATGATGGGAATGGGGGAACCTCTTTGTGGATGTCAAGCAGGGAAGCCCAAAGGAAATCAAACGGCTGAGAAGAAAACGCATTCCGTTTTGGAAAAACGAAACACCATGCAGACGTGTCTTCAGGTTGCTATGGCAAGTCTCGCAGATTCATCGATTCCGTACGTTTCGTTTTTGCCAAGTCGGTCAGGGAGCAGGTGAGGGGGCAACATATGGCCGTGGGTCAAAATTAGACTACCAGGGACCACTGTTTCTGTCCATGTTTCTCTTTCCCAGGGTTCAATTTTGGGTACCTTGTTTTTGACCCACAGCCAAACATTTTTCACAGGATGGGACGTTACCCTATACAGATCTACATGCTAGGCCACTATGGAACGCATCATCCTTAACCCCCTGCCTTCTCGCGGAGCCGTTCAGGTTTGGTTTGGTAAAACATTTGTATCAGTGAGCCCGTGGGGCGGGGTGGACAAAAGTCAAGAAGCAAACAGAATGGAATTGGCAACATGATGTGCAACTCGTCCTGCCTCTGGTTGCACTCGAAGGGATTCCGGGAAGTTTTAAGATTGTCAGGTCAAACATTTTCGCGGATCACCTGATGTGCGCCAGACATCTCAACAAGCCTCGCTGAGGCGATTGTCGGAGAGATCCAAAGACTCCAGGACGTAGGGATTCACCTGTCAGGCGGCAGTTCCCAAGACCCGTCACTTGTGGTCCCCCTGGCGCGAATTTCTGAGACAAGGCCCGTCAAGCGAAAAGGGAAAAGGCCCGTCAAGCGGAACGGCCCCGATCATTTTTGAGCCCAAGTCTTGGCATCGAGCGGGTCCGAAAGACCATCTTTTTGCTTCAAGGCAGCCCAGCTCGGCGACGCTTTCACAGGCCTTTCCGCTAAGAAATAGGCCCAATTTCTGACCGGCTTCGCTTGGCAATTCAAGACTACGTTGCTCAGAAAATCAGGATCTTGGCTCCGCAGTGGCTTTTGGCCCCATGAAACACTCAATGGGCGTTGCAAAAACAAAGAGCCCTGGGTTGCGACCAACCGATTTCTTATATATATAATTATGCTGGGGGTATAGCGAATCTCTTGGACCGCTGTTTCCAAGTTCATTACATACTCAGACGTAGCTCAAAACAGCGGTGGAATGTGCATGAAACAAATGCCAAAAGGATGGACACCAAACAAATGTTGGTTGAAACCAGCCTCCTTTTTGTTAAGTCGACCATGGCCTGACAAACTTTGCTTGTCTTTGATAATTCGATATGCATCATAAAAATAATATATAGCTATACTAATTCCTGTAGTTGGCATGATAAATATCAATGAGAGCCCTTGAAACTTGAAACCGGCGAGCCTCAAGGGCTTTGGCCAAAAAGGCGGCACCCTGATCTCCAATGGCCTGGGCGATAGGTTCCTGGGGACCCATGGGCAGGCTCATAGAGTCTGGCCATGGTTCCAAGGGTTGATTCCCCTTCCATTCTTTTCAAACATCGTTTTCGATAACCAGATCCGTTTTCCCAGGGCTTTTGGTGGCTTTCTAGGATCCTGGAAAGAATGCGGAAGCTACCCTTTGAATGCTGGCTGCGAGTCCACGCGCATTTCCTGGCGCGAGGCTGTGGCTCAACAATCAGGGCTCCCCCCAAAACCGCAAAAGCAATTGTTTTGGGCGAGTCTCTGCTTTGCCGAAAGGACTCTAGCGCCAATTGCCCTGAAACCCAGGTTCTCGACCTCACCGACTTGCAAATGGCGTGGAATGTGCAAAGGCCGCAAAGGCAGAACGTAGCCTGGTTTCTTCTACAAACCGAGGGTTGAAGGTACCATATTTTCGCCACGGCCATAAGAAGTGACATTCCGAACATCTCAGTAGAAGCCGGGTGTCGTCACTTCTTTGTAATGTGGGTGTATGCTTCTGCTACCGGTACCCTTTTTTGGGGTGGGTTTGAGGGAAACCTACAGGAAACGCATCTTTCACTGCTACGATGTCCCTGTCCACCTCGTGCACTCACGTGCATTTTGCAGAACCTCTTGTCCCCAGCAAAGACTAGCAACGATTTGCAGCACCACCAATGCTCTTCGATCTCGCATCCAAAAAAGTCAGAGATGCTGGCGCAGACAAAACTCTGATGACTCCTGCCGCCCTGCTACGACACTTGACGCTGATTGGAGACCACAGCCTTGCAGAAGGGATGTGTTGTACAAGGCATTCGAGCGTTCAGCCTGGCCTGCCTCGAACCAGCCTGCACTTAGCGCTCCCTGTGAAAGTTCCCCGTGCAGAACAACGCTGTGTAATCGTATGTAATCGTGATGCTATAAATATAGCCCCTAACATTCACCACACAGGGCTGCACACATTAAACACATTCAAACACATCAGTTTGGTGGGGTTGGATTGGACGTCCACCCGTTGGAGCTGAGATCAAAGCAAATTCAACTCCCGCGTCAGGATCAAGTCCTGAAACAGAAACAACTCCGCAGTCGATGGAACGCGGCGAGTTTTGTCTCGTCTCAGTCCCGCACAAATCCTGTGGCCCGCACATTGGCATGAAGGTCCAACTCCAGCAAAAAGTCGTTCTGCTGAAGGCCGGCTGCCAGCAATGCTGCTCCCTTGCAACTGATGCCTGCGGGCAGAAAACCAGCACTCAAATACAACAACCTTGACCTCAGGAGGGCTCTGAAAAAAATATCCTCATCTTATGGGCAGCAATCTGCCTGGCTCCAGACACATTCTAAGCACTGGAACTCCACCTGATTGGCTCAACTGGGTGACACCCTCGCGGAACCCGTCGAACCCCTTCGCCAAGGTGCCAGTAGAGGGCCTCAGCTTGAGCCCAAAAAACTGCCGCACCCAAACATACCAGCCCCAAACAACGAGCCCATGGCTTGTATTATATATATATACATATGGTCACCCCCCCATGAGCTACCTCTGTTGTTGTTTGGTCCTAAAGTCTTCCCAAGTCCCAAAACAGATTGAATTTGGGATGCCAACGACGAGTTCCTGTTTTGTTTTGTCTTCCCAAGCAAGTTTGTGTTTGACGGGATGGTGCGTTTGGAGCGTTCCTTCAATGTGATCAATGCGCGAGCGATTGCCGGGGCTCCAAAAACCTTGAGGCCGCTGCAGAAACGAAGCATCTCGTCAAAACAAATGGATGTCCCCACGGAACCCCGAAATGGTTGCCGCCCTTTTGGTTTGCCTTCAACCAACATGGCAACATGGGGTTCCCCTCAGGAAACACACACACACACACCCACACGTCTGCGGACACATAAAATGGGTTGTTGGCATATGAGCCCAGGATATTCTTTTTCACATGGCAAACATGGATGAGCTGCGCTGGATTTTGTAGGGAATGTGCATATGCCTTGCCCCTCACTGGACCACTGGTTGCTGCATATGACCAAACCTATGCCGTTACTTCCCTGCGGAGAATGGAATCACAAAATCAGAGACTTTGTAAAGGAGTCGTCTTGTGGGTCCCCAACATTTGCAGAGTGAGCTCTGTGAGCAATGATCAAAGTCGTTTGTTCCCCGAAGCCAAACGAGTTTGTCTTAAAATTCGGGAACCCCAAAATGGATTTCGGTTCGCCTTTTGGGTTTCCCCGAACAAAACCAAGCAAAAGGGATGCCTTAAAAGCAGACACGCCCAAAGAGACCATAGATCAATGGAAACTCTTCTGAGGCCCGAGGGACAAGCGTAGCATCTTCAGAGACTCGGAGCTTTGCAGAAGGCCAGCCAATTTCTCCAGCGCTGGCTCCCCCAAATTTCCTGCAGAAAAAAAAAAGCCGAGGACAAACGTCGCAGTCAAAACCAGAGTATGAAATGTGCCCAATATCCGCACCTGTTCTGGTTGGGACTGACTCCTAGTCATCTACCCGGGTTTTGATTGCTCATCCCACTTCCATTTTGGATTCGCATTTACATTCCCAAATGGTACCACCGAAAAAGACTCGCCCGGCTGGGTGTGATCTTCTTGAGGCTATCCTTTTCTTGGTTGAAAGAGAGAAACACAATATCCCTGTTTTCGCGTCCCCCTATTTTGACACACCTAGCTGTTGTCAAACGGAGGCCGCGCTCAAACGCCCCGCCTCGCAGCTCGATAGCAGAAAGCTGGCCCATTTGTGCCAGGCAATGTGCCTGCGAAGCCCTTCAGGCCCCCTTCAAATGGTCTTTCGCGTGACGAAGCATCAGCTGAGATACCCAATAAGTACAGGCGATGTTGGCAAACGTTTGGAGTTTTCCAGGCAACTCAGCCAGAGCTTGTGCTAACTGGTTTGCTCAACTTGGGCCTGCAGGCGCCACGAGGCTTTGGGATTCTCTCATACCCATATGCGGGGTTCTCAAATAGTGGTTCACAAACATGGTTGATTTCCTTTTGGTCTCCCTTTGAATACCAGCCAAAAGGCGGTCCACCATTTTGAGAAGCACTTACATCTTCTTGGTTGACTCTTGTAAATGACTGTAGATTGACAAACGCAATTTCGCAGTTGGAATGGATGACCAAGGAACACCGGGATAAACCACCCATCATTTCAACTGTGGTGCCTGGCCTGGGTTTTGTCCACCCACGTTGCAAGGAAATTCCATTGGATGGATAAGAAAATACACCCATTGGTGAACCGCACATGGTTTTCTTGCTTCAAGTAGGTATTGTTGTGTCCTTTGCCAAAATGCCTCCCCTGAGACCCCCTTTCCTTGTCCGAACTTCCCCCCGGATTCCCCCCCCCCCGCGTTGCTGATGTTGCAGCGCAGCTCAGACAGGCTCTGCTCCGCCTCAACGCGCTTCTATGCCTCTCACCACATTGTCCCAATTTTGGACAAATGTGGTATGAGGCGTTTATCGTTGGCCACCCCAAAGTAGACTCAAACACAGGGGTGCCTCATCAATCGCCGTTGGGTTCAAGTCGACTCTAAGCTTGGGACAATCAACACGCCCTGGGTGGCATGCGTAAATGATAAAAACAAAACCAAACTGACGCCATTGTCATCTATGCCTGACACCAGAACACCTATGACAGTGCATCTGCAGGCATGGCTTTCTGAAAACGCTTGCAAAGACTCCAACATTGAGACCAGCAAATATCATGATCGTACATGTGACCAATGGAAGCGAATACCCCTGTAACGCTTGGTGGAACCCCCCAGACACTTTCACAGGTGCACATGTTGGATATCTCAGACAATAGCTGCTCTTCACTGCTTATCACTTCATTTCCCACCACCTTTGTCCACCCAACACCAACACACACACACACAAACACCTGGTGAAAGAGAAGCCGGACCACACCGGTGTGTTGGTGCGGGCTAGTGTGTTGGGTCCCGGGGGGGTGGGGCGGGGGACACAAAATGGTGGGCGCCTTATCCCAGGATTCATGAGGGTTGCAGGATCTTGTCTGTGCAAAGTAGCAGCCTTTGTTACGATGCATTTCAAGCCCCAGAATCACTCGTCACGGCCTGCAGGGCTTGCGCCAACTCTGCAGCCATGGACGGCCCAAGGTTGATGTCTCCAAAATCTACCTGGCATCGCGAAGAAAGTGATGTGTCTACTATATTTCGCTTGCGTCACAATGATGCCTACTATCGATTACTACATAATACTATGGATCATAGCATTTAGTTTTTCTTGAGTTGCCTGACTCCAGTGTTCACAGATTGACTCCAGCCATGGCTAGGAGGAGGAGAAGTGAGGTTGTTCACCCAGCTGACCCTTGGATTGCCGAATCGGGCCGACCCCTTTCCCAAGACAAAGAAAGCTTCATCCTGTTGCAAGGTCGAAGTAAGCTGCCAACAGGTAGAAGTTGTTGGCATGCAAAGCATTTGCAGCTAGGTCCTCCAGTAGAGAGGTTAGAATAAGGGTACCCTCTTTCTGTAGTCTATTTTAGTAGGGGAACCCTCCCCCAAACAAGGGTAAAAGGGCACTACTGGGGGACCTAGCCAGTGTTGGGGACCCTGCAAACGTTGATGCCAGTGGCCTTTATCATCAATGTAGTGGCTCCAGTTCATACCGACTTTCAGGAATCCAATGCTTCAAGAATCCAATGTTTCAAGAATCCAATGTTTCAAGAATCCAATGTTTCAAGAAACCAATGTTTCAGGAATCCAATGTTTCAAGAATCCAATGTTTCAAGAATCCAATGTTTCAAGGAGCCAAGAATCCGATGACTCAAGAATCCGATGTTTAAAGAATCCAATGTTTCAAGAATCCAATGTTTCAAGAATCCGATATTTCAAGAACCCAATGTTTCAAGAATCCGATGTTTCAAGAATCTGATGCTTCAAGAATCCAATGTTTCAAGGAGAAGCCGATGTTTCAAGAATCCAATGTCTCAAGAATCCGATGTTTCAAGAATCCAATGTTTCAAGAATCCGATATTTCAAGAACCCAATGTTTCAAAAATCCGATGTTTCAAGAATCTGATGTTTCAAGAATCTAATGTTTCAAGAAGAAGCCGATGTTTCAAGAATCCAATGTCTCAAGAATCCGATGTTTCAAGAATCCAATGTTTCAAGAATCCGATGTTTCAAGAATCAATGTTTCAAGGATCCAATGTTTCAACAATCCAATGTTTCAAGAATCCAATTTTTCAAGAATCTGATGTTGTCTGGACTTCCGTTCTGTTTTTGTCGGCTTGCTAAGCAATTGACGCTGCGCTCTGCTGGCTTGTTTAGTTTTCCTGGCTTTGCAGCTTCTGACTCTGCTTCAGCTCCTGCATTTGCACGTGCATGCGACACTCACTTCCATTTGCTTAAGCCCCCTAGAAAAAATATGAAATATTTCCAGTAGTGAGAGATTCCTTTAAAACCAACAAGTAAAAATATACAATATTCTTCAGCAAATGGAAGCTCAATCTGCTAAGCATTTGTGCTGCGCGTAAAGCTTTGCTTATGTTCACACCATTCCGCATGTCATCCGCCGCTGTAGTTGATTACCAGCTATTTTCCTTTTAGCCTTCGAAGGATGGTTGCCTTAGTTGCCTACTATACAGGCACATGGACTGATAATGATAACGTCTTCTAAAAACGGTAATACATGACATCGAGGGCTTGAGCGAAGCGACGCACTCGTCACTTCCACCTCATAGGCGAAAGTCGCAGGCGCAAACCCTGCTATTCGTGGTGTCTTCTTCCAGAGTGCATGATGGGGATGACGAAAACTGCAAGGCTGAACCAATTTCTGGGGAACCTGCGCCGTAACAATCCGCCAGGTTCAGTGTAAACCCGTAGCCAACCCGCACAAACCCAGCATTTTGCCGGAGCCAAGTTCGAGCACCCAGGTCCCATGGTACACCTGGGCTGGATTTGGACCCGCCCGAGTTCCGAGCTGCAGTAACGAAGTGAGCGCTGCCACGGGGATCTTGAAAATCCAGCAATCGCAGCTCTTGCCTCAGGCAAAGCGGCAAGTACCCATCTGAAAAACCAAAGGGAGCCAGTGAGCAAAGGGAACTGAAGGGAAGCAGAGGGAAGCAGAGGGAAGCAGAGGGAAGCAAAGGGAACCGCAGGGAGCAAAACCCCATAAAAGCGCACGAAGACGTTCATGCACCTAGGGCAATTGCAACAACAGCTTGGAACCACACACCAAACTGTTAGAGACACAATCAGCTACTTTGTACATGCAAATGAAGAGTGCAAAAGAAAGCAAGAAGCGCCCTGGCAAATAAATTGTCCCTTTGATGCTTGTGCAAAAAAATGCACAAAATGCATCTGCAAAAAATGCATCTGCAAAAACTGCATCTGCAAATCTTACTACAACTCCACATACTTCCAAAAGCTGAATTAAGGGACTTCCAAGGACATTTGTCCTGGTTGTAGCTCGTTGTACCCTTCCATTTGGTTAAGACCCATTGAACAAATCCAGTAGTGATAAACTCCTTTTAAAACCAGCAAGTGAAAATAACAAAATATTCTTAAGCAAATGGAAGTACCCCAGCTCATCGGTGAGCCTCGCTCTAACATCGGCAGCTGCCCATGCAGACTTCGCCGGCCAACATCTTGCAGCTGCCGAGGCCCGGGCTTTTTGGACACCTGGCGTGGTCTCCGGCCGAAGGCTCAAATAACTGTGGGTCACATTGGGTACCCAAAAGTCCCGAAATGGGTTGCCCGTAATGGAACCAAGGACTGGCTGCCATAGTGGCCTAGGATGTAGATCTGTCGCCCCATCCTGTGAAATGTATATGGCTGTGGGTCAAAACTAATGGTAGCCCATTTTGGGGTAGGTGAATTCACCACCCATGATAGAACTTATTTTAGTGCTTGAATTGTGATGTTCACTGGAAGTACGGGCTTTTGACCCATAGCCAAATAATTGGAACGTGGTCGGCTAGCTGGACGCGAGCTAAGTCCAAAGAAACCGCACCAGGCTCATGTCAGTCAATACCACTTTGCGCAAACTTGATCTGCTCTCAAGCTGAACTTGCGATCGGTGCGATAGGCAGGGAGTTTTAGGGAATGAACCCCCCAGGGACTCCCTCAAAGGAAACCACCAGTTGGCTAGTCTTTTGGGGGGTCATTCCAAAAAACTCATTCCCTGCCTGTCGCAGCAAAAGCAAGGCACGCAGATTCCATGCTGAGCTTTGGGCATCCTCTGCCAAGAGGCGGATGTCAAGACTGCTGCATCCGAAGAGCTGGAACTCTGCCAGCTTCTCCTCTGAGGCTCTGTAGGCGCTTTCTGGCGCTTGAGGGAAGCCATGGTCAAACTTGTGTACCT